ATTATAGCTGTAATTGCACACCTGTCTAAGGCAAGATTTGAGTATTAAATCCGTTAATGCATCATCGACTTATGACCGTCCCGCTAGTTGTGAAGTCCACCTTTATTAATTCACTGCTACTTTCATTAGTGATAGATCATGGTTAGGCTGTAAAAATCTCTTCATTTTGAAGTCTTGCTTAAGCTTAAAGAAAGAAATATACAAAGCACCTAGGAGGAGGTAGGTGGTAGATTGATTCTTGTAAACTAGGAAATGACGGCCAAGAAAATTAGGTACTATCATGTATGAGAGCACCTTCAAGATTGAAAGAAAGTTGCTTTTACTCCTTGTGAGGTATTTTAAAAATTGCGCGATTGAGAAATTGCTACGTTTTTCTTCGTGAACATATTTTTCAATCATCTTTTTATCTCATATATATCAAATCGCTACAGTAATTTTTCTACAAAAAAATCCAAAAATTGCAATTCAAACAAAGCTCACAAAAAGGAAAAAAAAAAAAACAAAAAGTTTTGCCCTTTCACAATTTTTGTCAAAAAAATATGTATAGGAGTAATTTTTTAAAAAAAAAAAATTCTGTTAGTTCCCATATGCACACAAAAATGCTTCCGTTCACGAGCTATAAAAAATTGGGTTCCATATATTACTGTTATTTAAAAAGAAAACAAGAACAAATTTGAACGACTCCACGGTTTAACTTCTTCTCAATTTCCTTAATTTGGCAGTTTTTTTTTTGTCAATGCTTATCCGCTCTGGCCACTGCCGAAGAAGACTAATGCATGGCTGGATCCGGTCCCTGGAGTACTACTTGAACCCCATAACCGTCTTAGCACTAGATGGAGAGTAGCCAGTGAGGCTAAAATAAACAAATGTAATCTTGGAAGTGAATACTACATTGAAAAACTAGTCTATATATATATATATAGTAACTTTCTTTTTGGCATGTCTAACAAAGGTTTGATCACCCAGAAACGTTAAGCAATAATACAAGATGCAGTTCTTCAAAAAGAGTTCCAGCATGCATGAAATCATCTTCATCTTCTTGTAGTCATTTGTTAGCTGTTTCATCTTTGAGCCATGATGTCAACGCTTCGAACCAACACTAAATCCAGTCAACTGGAGAGTAAATCGAACGTCCATAGATTTTACTTGTACACACACACACACACACACACACACACATATAGACTTTACTTCTTCAACCATGACAACAAAAATTAACCATCATCTCTCTACATTAACTAATCATCCGGTTAAAAATTAATTTACGCTTTTTTTTGTAATCGTTACATCTTTCGCATTAATTCTTGAAAACTGTCAACAGTTGCCACGAAAAAAGTGTCCAAAGATGAAGAAATTGTATGAAGAATTCACACCATTATTTGAATTTGAAATTGGTTTCCTCGATTCTCAATTGAGTAGAGCAACATAAAGGCCAGGTGTAATACATTGGTAGACTAGAGACATGTAGCTATGACCATGATTAGCAACTTCTTTGAGAAATTCGGTTTATTTACCACCATTAGATAATGGATATTTTCATATCAATACCAACTCAAAAACGTATATTGGAGAAGCTAATGCATTGATGGAAAAGGCATACAATTAACAAAAGGAAAGGAAATGCAACAAAAGATGATCGATGCAGGTTGCAACTTTCTCCAAATCAAAAGAAAAGGAGAGAAGGAAAACATATTTCGTTCATCTGGAATTCGGTCGATTCTTGCTCATTCTTCATGACCCAGTTTTGACCATTTTTTACTGTCAATTTTTACATTGACTGGAGCTTGCTCAAGTTCCATGTTTCAAATTCAATCGTACTAACCGATTGACCTCGTTAAAAATTTTGACAACAACTTGTTGTCCTAAAGGAGCAGAACCAAGAATAAAACAAAAGTTGTGGACGGGCATATTTACCATAAAATAAAGGGAAATGGTTGGACGGTCAGGGGAGATGAGAATTGAGATGGGACGATAAGGACAAGCACAAGGAATATCACATAGATGGAATATTAAGCAAAAGCACATCACAAACATTTGAAAACAGCGAAAAGCCAGCCATGCATGGAGAGACATGTTGACCAGATACTGTGATTATTATTATCATCATCGTCAGCCGATCGAGATCTTAACATTCCACAATCCAACACACACACACACACACACGATCGCAAAAGAGGAAATTAAAGAGCAAAGTGGATATTTATTTATTTATTATTATATAACGAATTAAATTTTGAAGTAGAATGAGGCTGAATATTTTGCACTTCCCGGAGAATCTAGAGCGGATCTGGCGCTGACCGTGGCTTTGGAAAGTATTAACAAAAAATTATTAAATACCCATCTAGGGAATGAAAAATTATTAAATAGGGAGGTGCTAAGAGTAGATTAGATGCAAGAATTAGTACTAGTATTAATTAATTTAGTGGTGAATTAATGAATGTATGTAGGAACATGGTAAAAAATAATATAACAAGCGAAGAGGATAAAGAATGAACCTATATCGATCGCCTGGACAAGGTCGCTCACGTGACAGGAACCATGTTGACGCCGAGGAATTTGGCCCGGGCTCGACAGGGTGGTGGAGGTGGACCTGACCCGGGAATATTTGGACACGGAGCGGGAATATTGGTGTTGGGACAAATTGCTGGAATAGACAAATACTAGCAGTTGGTTTTAGAGTATTTTCTCTTTCTGAGCGTGGACCAAAAATCACAACTACTCCCACTCCACTCCTTCAATCTTCGAGAATCTCCCACTTACTTGCTAGTTACTAGTACCTTTTCTTTTTCTTTGTTTGAGCCTGTTATTTAATACTATGCTACCGGGTGATCAATTTATGTACTTCAAGTTAATAGTAGATAGACATGAATAGTGAATAAAAAAGCTTGTTTATATCACCATTTTTTTCCCTTTTGGCAGACAAAAAGAACTATACATATGCACTAAATTTGACCACATCGACTTGTATATTTATGCAAACTAGCTAATTTTGGCTTGGGAATTAGATCATTTGTTCATTTTTTGTGATCATGGTTATAAACACATTCTTTTAGTTCATTTGAGATTGTAGGATTCGAAGAAAAAAAAAATGAAGAACTTAAATTATAGTCCTCTTAAAGAATTACTAATAAGCTTGATGTTTGCCACTGGTCCACCCCACGGCATTAGATTTATGATTGCACTTTGACCAATGAAAATATCTGGTTTACACACCAGAAATATATAGATTGCTGGGAGTATATTTAGCAGCGGAGCCAAAACTCGAGAGTTAAAGGGATCAATCATCCGACAACATACAAAAATGTAGTGATATATAGCATAGTTAAAATTAACCAAAGAATGTCTACGTTAATCATGCCTCTTTTCTAAGTCTAATGTGCTTTCAAGTTGATACTAATGTGCGTGAAATAGAAATATCTAAAGAATTTATTTTTGAAATGTCTTCCAGAATTAACTTTAAGTAGTCAACCTAAAATTCTGGCAATGATTATCAATTTTTTAGTTGTTGACGTTAGAAATTGCTAAACTTTCCGAGCTTAGGGATCGACTGATTTTTTTTTTTTTTTTTTCTCTCGTCAAAGGTTGAGAGGCATGCAATTGCGTGTGGCTCCGTCACTATATCACTGTATCTAGGGTTCGAAACGATCTGCTTGTTGCTAGTGTGCTGCATTAGATTAATCCATTATCCGTATAACAAACTGTGGATCAAATACATGCAACTAAAAAAAGTGTCATAAATTGCATTAGGAATAGAACAGGAAATTAAGAAGCCAGCTAGCGCGCTGCATGGTGGTCTGGAACTTGAAGGAGCTGGGCCAGATTCAGCAACATGTGAGTCTGTGGCCTCGTGTCGCCGAAGGTTCAAGCCATGCTCTCTGACATCGATCCATTCTCATCTCATCTATTGTCTAGACTCTTTAATCTGTACTTGTACATTTTCAACAGTTTTCTTTTGGAAAGAGAGCAAAATCCCAAAGGCCAAAAGGTTGAATTTTGGAGCTGATATTGTCTCTGAGATTGAAATAGTATATATGTTAAGCGGAGCCTTTTGACCTTAAAAAAGGAGATAATATGCGCGAGAGAAAGCCAAAAAGGTGGTACACTTTTGGTGATTCTAGATTTCCACGTCCATAATATTGCCATGGAAATAATTGGTCTTTGGAGTTTTTGCAACTTATGTCTAAGTGAACGGATCCAAAATCTCCGGCTCCAAGATTAAAATAGTACTCCAACCCTCATAACTAGCTAATTATGTATCTCTCTGATTAAAAGAAAAGTAAAATGTCTCCAAAGAATAAAAGGGTCGTTTGTTCGAATTTTATTGTTGATATGAGGACTGTATTTGATATAGGATCGGAAAAAACTCCTTTAAGTAACCTGTGACCCTGAAAGCATGCATTATTGATTGAGAACAAATCCATCGAAACTTTTTTCCTATCCAAAGAAATAGAGAGACAAAACCAGAATAGTGTTAACTTGATCTATACGATTTCAATGAAATGACCCAAGGGTTTCCACAACTACCAATATGGTCAACAAATAGCTAGGCTGGCAACAATTTTTTGGACTATGGCTAGGCAAAAAATAAAGGTTAGATGAACATGTAAAACACCATGTTTGAGGCTACACAAGTGAAGCTAGCCGACAGGAGTGCAAGATATATATGCATTATGGAGGGGCGTCAGGACTGGGGACTAATTAATAAGTGTAGGAGTGGAAAGTAAAAAGAAGCTTTAAATATGGATATTTCGCCCTGCTGCTCCCCCGGAAGCCTCTTTCGTGAAAAAACACTTAGGATTAGGAATATTCTAAGGTCAGGGGAAAACGTAAGAACCCTAAAACAAAACAGCATAGTCCCATAAAAAAACAAAAAGAGATTGGAATTAAATGAGTCACAATCCATCATCAGTGAGACAGGCGGGTATTCAATCCCGTTCTAATATTCCATTGGACAGTCCAATCCTCCACCCCATTCTCCTTAAGCCCTCCATTTCCTTCTCCCAACTGACCAGCCCTTTTGTTTTCTCGACTTCCAAGCATTCCCTGTTCAGAACCCTGAACCCACCGTTATAATTACATTTCTCGGTAACCCCTTTTCCCATCCTCGTTAGCAAGTGATAAGGTAAAAGCTACCCGTCCCTTGAGGTTTATCCGGTGCCACTGCATCCTTAAATGCACATTCTTACCCTTTCCAACAACTTTTCCTTGGTACCTTCCTTTCATCCACACATGCTCCCGAAATACATAAAAAGATCCCAATTTTCTGACTAGAGTCTAGAGGTAGTAGATAGACAGTAGTCCTAGCAATCCCTTCAATTCTCTACGCATTTTCTTTTATTATTCACAAGTATCGAACACTCTTAAGTCACTTCCTAAAAAAGCCTAGCTAGTTTGAGTAGTTTCTCCTTTCTCCTTTCCTTCGACTCCCTAGACAGTCAAGATAATCATGAGCCACTCATCATGATATAATCACAACTCTCATTCGCCTGCTTTTTGATCTTTCTCCAAGTTCCAAGCTTGTCCTGCCCCATCGTCTTCTTAATTTTTACACTTCAAATCTGCTTACTAGCACGGACTCCATGAGGAATACAGGCTCTAGTTTCCCTGATCTTTCTTTACAAATCAGTCCACCATCCTTGAGGAATTATGATATCAAAGAAGTAGGATACGAGATTGGATTGATGGTGAAAAGTTCTTATCCTAGTGACCGTAGCTCGACCACTGATTCCGGAAGCTGCGGAAGCGATTTAAGCCATGAAAATGGTGGGTTTGATCCAGAAAGGAGTTTAAGTTATCCTTCTGTCGATCCAACTTTGAGTCTAGGGTTCGACATGGCTGTTTCCAATCCTCTTCCCCTCCAACCTCCGAGAAATTTCCAAGCGTACCACCATTATCAACCTCAAATATACGGACGTGACTTCAAGAGAAATTCAAGAATGATAAATGGGCTTAAAAGAAGCGTTAGAGCTCCTCGAATGCGATGGACTTCAACTCTTCATGCTCATTTTGTTCACGCAGTTCAGCTCCTCGGTGGCCATGAAAGTACGTTTTGCAACAAAATACTATACTGACAGATTTCTTGCTACTGCCCTTTTGCTTTAGTTTAAATTTTCTTAAAGAGGAAGGCTAGGAAGGAAGAAGTCGCGAGACAAATAGTAACAGTACTGATCGACCTCTCATGCTAATACGAGAATTAAAGGCCGTTGATTTGCAATAACCTCTGTGTTCAAGAGAAGTTTTTTTCTTTTTTTTGTTCTAATTAGATGTACTGACAATAATTTTTTCGCCAGGAGCTACACCAAAATCAGTGCTGGAGTTGATGAACGTCAAGGATCTAACCCTAGCTCATGTCAAGAGTCATTTGCAGGTGGGATTACTGTGCTCAATCTTGTATTGTTTGAAAGCAAGAGGAACATTTATTCTTCCTTTTGATTTTATTGTTTGCTTCTGTACTCTTCTGATGTCTTAGTATTAGCGATATGAATGTGTGTGAGTGGGTTGTGGTGGACTAGTACACACGGTTAGGACAAAAAAGCATCTTGAGAATCGAGAGTAATCTTACCAATGTGATTTTCTTTTTCTTTTTTTTTTATCTTTTTTTCTGTGGATGTTCATGCAGATGTATAGAACAGTAAAGAGCACTGACAAAGGCGCAGCAGGACCAATAGGTAATTGGATTTTTTGCCTCAAGGACCCCAGTTTTTCTTCATTTCCATCTTGATTTTTGTTTTTGATCGAACTTGAGGATTTTTCTTTTTATTTTTTAAACTTAGAATACAATATGAGTCTAGTTTGGTATGGACCAATTAATAGAGTTGGAGTACATGTGAATTATTTGCTATTTGTCTGATAAAGCTAACGCAATGGCTCTATGATTGTGTGTTTTGCAGGGCAGACAGACGTGGTTTTGAGCCAAAGGACAGGGATGGCTGAAGTTGAGAGCCTTGAAGCAGGCGTGGAACTGTCTTGTGAGAAGGCCGGTTCCAACCCTTCTGCAAATTCAATCAATATTTCACTACCATCATCATCACCATCACTACCAACAACACTACACAATGCTCAGAGGTGAGTGAGCAGTGAGTTAGTGCATCTGAAGAATCTGCAGCAATTCTGTCTTTCCATTTTTGTTTTTTATAGTACTCCTCCAACTTTTTCAATTGACAAGCTACATAAAGCATATTCCTCAAACAAATGATTAACATTTGAAAGATTTTTGGTCACACATGAAAGGAATCTAATCATCAGGGCTAGAATGCAGGCACTCTTTTACACAGAGTCACACACTAAAACAGATGCCTTGCCTTTGGGGCTTTTTCGGGTCCAACATACTCCTGTGTTTGTTTCTTCTGATGCTGTATTTAGCAATGCAAGGAATCAACTTTTTTTTCTTCTCTTTTTGGTAGGAATAATAGTTTCAAATGAGCAAGGTAGCAATTCATCGGTCCTTTCCAAAAGAGAAAATTCAATAAACAAACAAATGGAGCAGGGTTCTGAGTTATTATGCTAGCCATATCCTACAGGATATTGGAATCCTCCGTTGCATTATTATCTGATGCTACTACAATTGTATTGTACCGTACCTTTAGACTTTAAGGATTTAGATGGTCCACGTACGGATTTCAAGGCACTCTAAAAGGTCAGGTAGTCGGTTCAAACCTCGATGCTATTTGTGTAGGAAAAGGATTCCAAAATACAACATTTCAGTTCAAGACTCCGGTGCCAATTAGCGTACCGTGCATGCGGCAGGAAGTTTGAAATCGAGTCATTAGCAAACTAGTTTACTTATTAGCTTCTAGTGTTGAAGTCTTTCGCTATTGGCTCGACTTGATTAGTTGGACTCTTTCATACAGACTAATTATGAAAGAATCGCAGATATGATCATTCAAAGTAATTATTTACTATCAGGAAATTTGCCAGCAAAGAATTGTACTGCAGAAATGAAGAAAATAGCATTTTACATGGATTAAAAGTTTGGATTAACTTTTTATATAATGACAGTGTAGTGAATTTTTTTTTTCCACTAAACAGTTTTGGATATATAACATATGTGCATGATTTGAATTTCAAATTTAAATTTATATTATGTGACATGATCTAAATCTACGTCTATAAAAAAAAATGTACACTGATAGTATGACAGGATAGAATATAAAAAAGTTATCCTAAAAGTTTTATTTCTACTGTTGTCCGATATTGGAAAATGGACATGCCTAGTGGTAAAAGATCATGAGTTGTGTTCAACCATCCATCAAATTCCTGCTATTTTAAGTTTTCTTCAAGATCTTCACATCTGATTCTTGACATATGGCTGAACAGACCTTCATGTGAGTTACCACCAAGGACAAATATATGGTGCCACCCAAGTCAAGAAAATTCATTGAGATGTTATCAACATGGAGACAAGGACACAAAGGTAACTACACATGCATTACCGTCTCTCGAGGCAAAAAGTTTAGGCTCACATATTTTTTTTTTCTAATTCTTTAAGAGTTATATAAGTAGTATTAATTCTAACACATTGTTCCTCCTCTTTGATTGGACTTGTCTTAGGGTGCCGGAATTGATTCACTCCACCATATGTCCGGGAAGATGGAGAAGAAGTTAGATAGTAATAGTACAAATAGGTCAATGTTGGCATCTTCCGACATGCTGCTCAATCTTGAGTTCACCCTCGGGAGGTCAAGCTGGCAACTGGACCACGACGCAAATAATACTACTGACTTGACCATTAATCTCAAATGTTGAAACCTGAAAGCTACAACTGGAAACATTTATTAATCTGGAAGTATCATCATCAATATCTTCTAGGACGAAAGGCATTTTTATGTGCCGATCTTTCGATTTTGTCTGGAAGCAACAGGTAATTCCTAGGGGGCAAAAAAAAAGCAATGAGAAAACTAGTAGATGAACGTTTTTTGCAGTATTGATCAGATAGACAAATATATAGGTAGTTTATCTCTTATGTTGGAAAAATTTCTCCCACCACCACAAAATAAATTCCATGCCCTTGGGAATTTACGGTCGAAATTTCCTTGCCCACTTGCCTAAATTTCTTAATTTGAAAGTTTAAGGTGCATAACAGGATTTTTAATTTTGGTTTTTTTCAGACCCAAAGGTGAAGGAAGAGTGTGATGCTACAATTGCATTAGTGAGCGTAAACCTTGTTACATTGATCCGGAAAACAGTAGCCTCATCGCATTTGACCTAACATATTTCTTCTACATTTTCATCAAGTAAAATAAAATGGTCAACAGATAGTGTCAACTTTCCTTCAGAAATAAAAGTTCAGAGATAGAAATAGAAGTTCTAAAGTCTAGATAGAAATGAAAAGTTCAGCGATTCAATATATATGGAATAAAAAAAAGTGATTAAAAAATGTGTTCAAAAAAATATATTTCCAAAATCTGCCTACAAAAGTTTTCGGTTTTTGAGGTTATTAAAATGTACTATAAACTTCGCGTTCCACGATTGAATTGACTCATATGAAGTTGAATTCAAGTCGAATTATATTATTATGAAATGAACAACAATAAAGATGCATAGCGCTTAAAAAAGAAAGAATGAATGACATTGTTTGGAAGGGATAGTATAGTTTTGGATAGAGTTTTTGTAAGTCCATGGTGCTGCAGATTTGGTACATTATTTGCATAATTTTGGGCTCCGAACTTTAGTCCATGGTGAAATTATATTTGACCCTTCGGACAAATTTTTTTCCAATGTAATCTTTGACCGCTATAACCTAAGAAGACCAGTCTCCCCCAACTGTTGGTGAACACTCATCTTCGCTAGGTGGCGGTCGGCGCACGGACTTCCTTCCCTGCGCTGGTGTTGCAGCTTGGAATCCCACTGTTTCTTCCTAATTTGCCCAAACGAGGTGACAATGAGAGCTCTCTGCTGGTGCTGGGTTCTCTGGATAAGCTCCAGGCTTACAATTTTCACTATAATCTTTCTGTAGCAGTTCATATTCCCATGCTAGGCTCTTGACTTTGTCATCCCTTCAAACTTGTTAAGTTGACAGAAGAAAGCCCAGTTTTTGCGGTCTCAAGGTTCCTTAAAAGCGTAGTTTGGCCCATTCCGTGACAAAATTCCACACACAATGACACAACCTCCCATGTACTTCTGGACTTCGCCATGGGGCTATCCTATGACCGTAATACGACAGTAGCATCAAGTAGTCCTAGTCTAAGATTGTGAGGGCTCTCTTGACACGATGCTGCTGCTGCTACTACACGACACAAGAGAACTCAGCAGTCCACACATACTCTGTTGCTGATTGCAAGTCCGAACTCAGAAGTCAAGCCATCAGTTTTGAATATCAATTCCATGGCCAGCTGAAAATGAGGGGAAGTGAAACACCACCATTAGCACCGATTTGGGGTTACTCCGAATTCCACCTACTAGATAGATGACCCGTGTAAAAGTTACAATTAACTAATCAGGCATTATGGTCTGGTTTCGTTTCGTTTGTAAATTGTAGACCAAAATCAAGAGTGACAGCGAGTCAATGATGATGCCTCTGCAAGTTCTGTCTTGTTTTGCGTTGAAAAAACAAGGGGAAAAAAGTTCTACTTATTGAGAGCATCCCGATTTGTTAAACCCTTCTTTACCTGTTAAAGAACGTAAACTCTGACGCCGTATACACTATCATCGTTAGATTCATGATATGTATGCAGAACTTGAATTTTAAATTTAAATTTTACATAATTACATGTCATCCAATATTGATAGTGTATACATTGTCAATGTAGAAAAAATTAATTCAAAGAAAATACGAGGATTTTTAGCTGTCATCAAGTATGGCGATGGGCCTGCCTTGTAATTGATTAATCAAGAAACGAAAATACGAGAAGGTTTAAGGACTCTACGCGCGATTTTTATGATGATGAGTAATTATGGCCTCTTAGCTCTAAACTATTCCCTTTGTCCCGCTTTAATAGAGTTGTTTTTATTTATTTCAAATTATAGTCTATTTTTTAATTAAAAATTATAATTAGCTTGTAATTTTTCAAAAATTTCTTATTTCATATAAATTATTATAGGGTATAATTTAATTTATTTAATGTAAAATTAATTAGTCATGTTCCACTCCAGTAATCTAGCTTTATGTTCTCAATAAAGCTAACTAATCTTTTTTAAATTATTTGAAAAAAAAAAAATCAAAACTGTCAGTGTTGGGACAGAGGCAGTAGTAATTTGCTTCCCGTCAAGGTTGTAAAAATTGAGGCATAATTAAAGCCGCAAGACAAGATTAGACCAAATACAGATGCATCCGAATTCCAACCTTGACTACTAGCTAGCAGCATGCAATCTTACACTTGGTTTTCAATAATATTATCTATTTTCCACTGCCTTTTGATTCCAACAGATAAATTGTTACCCAAGATAAATGAATAAATAAATAAGTGCCTCGTGACATCTCATCACTCTCCCAGGCTAACTCTGCTCAGACTAAATTCCTTAAACTTTTGACGAAATGACTCCACTATAAAATACTACATCACAGTAAAGGGACAACGTGGGAATTGTCTTGATAAAAGAAATCTTTCCATACACTCTGCTAATTCAACATTTATAAATGAATTAAGCGCCTAATCGGCCCAACAAATTAATCCTACGTCCCCAGAAAGCTGTTTCTGAATCTTGTGCTAGGAGGCATGATGGAATGGTCTTTCCAGCACCTCAATGCTGCTGCAGTTGGACTGCTTGCTTTCTCCTTCTTCCTTGTCTACTTTTTCTTCAACAAAGATGCCAAAAAACATGGTTCAGTGCCACCAGAAGCAGGCGGTGCATGGCCTATTATTGGCCACCTTCACCTCTTAGGAAGAGGTCCAGAAAGGCTTCCCCACATAACCTTGGCAGCCCTGGCCGAGAAATATGGACCAGCCTTCACTATCAGGCTAGGAGTGCATAAAAACCTGGTTGTAAGCAGCTGGGAACTAGCAAAGGAGATATTCACCACCCATGACTTGGCTACAGCATCACGTCCGAATTCTTTGGCAAGCGAACTCCTAAGTTATGACTATGCCAGTTTTGGATTCGCTCCTTACGGTGATTATTGGCGTGAGATGCGTAAGGTAATCTCCATCGAACTACTCTCCACTAAACGCCTTGAGCTCCTCAAGCACGTCAGGATTTCTGAGACTGACCTTTCCACCAAAGATCTTTACAATCTCTGGAATTCTTCTTCAGGCCCTGTTCTGGTGGAAATGAAGCAGTGGTTTGCGGACTTGACTCTAAACGTGATCCTTAGGATGGTTGTGGGGAAAAGGTTCTTTGGGGCAGCAGACGTTAGCGAGGAGAAAGAAGCAAAGGTGTGCCAAAAGGTGATGAGGGAATTCTTTTATTTAACTGGGCTGTTTGTACTGGCGGACTCTGTTCCTTATCTAAGATGGTTGGACTGGGGAGGGTACGAGAGGAAAATGAAAGTAAATGCTCAAGAGGTGGACCGACTAGCCGACGGATGGTTGAAAGAACATCGTCGAAAGAAACATTCGGGCGAGGCCACTAGTGATCATCAGGACTTCATGGACGTCATGCTCTCACTCACAGAAGGTGCAGATTTTTCTGCTGGTTACGATGCTGATACTATCACCAAAGCTACTTGCGTAGTAAGTCCAGTATATATACTTTTAATTTTTCTTATTCTCAATTTGTTTCTTTACAGCTGATCAATATCTAGAATACGTTAGTTTAAAGAAAACTGCAAGTGAGTTCAAAATTTTGCTGTCTTTTGGACTTGACAGGGTTTGATTTCTGGTGGGAGTGATACCACTGTAGTGATGCTAACATGGACGCTGTCTTTGATAATGAACAACCCTCGAGTCTTGAAGAAGGCTCAAGAAGAACTAGACCTGCACGTCGGCAAGGAGAGGCGGGTTACAGAATCAGATATTAGTAATTTGGTCTACCTCCAAGCGATCATCAAAGAAACGCTACGACTATATCCACCCGGGCCACTGGGGGGCACCAGAGAATTGAGTGAAGACTGTATTATAGGTGGCTATCATATTCCAAAAGGCACAAGAGTAATCCTGAACATGTGGAAAATCCAGAGGGATCCTAACGTATGGCATGATGGTCCGTTGGAGTTCAGGCCGGAGAGGTTCCTCACCACACATAAGCATATTGATGTGAAAGGTTATCATTTCGAATTGATCCCATTTGGGGCTGGTAGAAGAATTTGCCCTGGGATTAATTTGGGGCTTCAGATGTTACACCTAGTCTTGGCCAATTTGCTCCATGCTTTTGACCTCTCAACTCCTTCTAATGAACCGGTTGATATGACTGAGAGCGCCGGATTGACAAACATCAAAGCCACTCCGCTCCAACTCCTTGTTGCTCCACGCCTGCCTCCTCACCTTTACTCGTAACTCAGTTTGGAAAGGATCTAGTATTTAATAGCAAAAGCAATCGTAGAAATGTTTATTGAGGACCTGAATAATACAAATGAATTGCAACAAAATATATTCTGTCTATGAGATGTTTTGCATTGAGATATTTCTTACTTGTCCTAAATGGCAGGGAAGAGTACTTAAAACAGAATATACATGCTTAACAGTGATATAGTATGAATCAAAACTACATCATTTTGATCCATTTCTTGAGTTGTTTTAGATTAGTGAAAAAAGATGACAGTCAAAGTAAACAGCAGCGCCAGTATTTTTAAACGGTTCTTTTTGTGAAGGTTAGTCCTCTAGTATTAGTACCAAAACTATGGCAGAAGAAAGGGGTCCTCTCACAGGCCACAGCTGCCCACCACTCGCCTCAATTCCCATGCATTTCCTGACACAGCCTTGATCCATCAGTTTGGTCCTGAAGGACACGGCTGACTGCCAACTTCATCTTCTAATCTATGAAAAAAAATACTCAGCAACCTCTAATTGTCTAGATAAGGTACATCGTACATCAAATAAGAGGTGATATCCATCAAAGTCCTGGTAGTTTAAGTTTTCTTCTAGATCTTCACATCTGATTCTTGACATATGGCTGAACAGATCTTCATGTGACTTGTCACCAGGGACAAATATACGGTGCCACCCAAGTTAAGAAAATTCATTGAGATGTTATCAACATGGAGACAAGGCTGCAAAGGTAACAACACATGTATTACCGTCTCTCGAGGATCAAGGCTGTGTCAAGGCTGTATCATTGTCTCTCGAGGCAAAACGTTTAGGCTCACATGTTTGCTTTTTCCCCCCACTTTAAAAACTTGATCTCGCACTTACTAATAAAATTTATTAAGAATCATGTTTCCAACATCACATATTGACTTCTGTTACTAATGATTCTTTTTGAAATTGATTACTTTTCTATTTCTTGCAATGATAACAATTTTTATTTACTTCGGTTCGCTATGCAGTACACAAATTATTGACATGAATTTGGAGATATATCTAATAGAGATATTTATGTCTTTTTTATTTATATCGCATTACTTTCCAGTTCCTTTTTGAGTAGGAAATAAGAATCATATAATATTAAGAATTCTTATAGGAAATAATAATTGATATATATCTAAACAAAATAGGAGCAAGTCACGTAGGAAACTACTTACCGTCTCGTTAAGCCACGTAAGAAAGAAAAAACATGAAAGGATAAGAATGATGATACGACTATTATATATATATATATATATAATAGGCACTATAAGGAAACAGACCGTGCAAGCACAGTGTAGACCTATCTATAAAATTATTGCTAAAATTCATGACACTATAATTTGCTTTCAAATAAAAAGAAATTATAATTATCAAAAAATGAGCCTATAAAAGTTTATCTTTAGTGGAATGTTTCAAAAGTTTGCTACAACTTATTTATTGTGATTTAATAGAGATATATACTGTATTGTATGGACAAACAATAGCACAGATTCAAAAACTAAACACATGAGAAATGCAAAACCAGTTCAATATTAACATAAATGATATATGCTTCATAAAATTCAAATATCATGTTATTATAATTACAAATGCATAAAATTTCACCACTGTTTCTTTTTCAAACAAGACATCATCATGTAAAAACTTCTATCCTACAAATTCATAATAAAACTTTCAAAAAAGTTGAATGGAAGGCTTTTCAAACCGCACGAATGGAAAATCGATTTAAGACAAATCGCACGAAAGGAAAATCGATTTGCAGAACCAAAATAATAGAGAACTTAATGAAATCAAAGAGATCAAGCCAAAATAAATAAATAAATAAATACACTGAGGTAACAGAACAAAGAGGCAAAAAAAGAAAAATGATAAAGGCTAAAAAAATACAGTTAATATAAAAAAGTTAAAAAAATACTGTTAAAAAAAGTTAAATCCATATTTGGCAACGTGAAACAAGGGAAGAATAGGAATAAAAAGAAAATGGAATATACCGGACAGTAGGAGTAATGGAGGTAAAAAATCTATTATTAATGTTTCTCCTAAAAAAAAGATATCATGATTCATGAATCATGATTTTTGAACAATGGAATAAAAGAAATATCCATTCCCGTGCAAGAAAAGCATACATTCAATTAATTATAGAGGAAAAAGGAAAAAAAATGGATTGACTGAGCAAAATGAAGAAAGGCAGAAAAAAATTGAGATGAAGGAACAAAGAAAAAAAAAAGCAAAATACTGGATTAAAGAGTTAAAATTGATGGAATAGGAAGTGACAGTTTAAATCAGTTGATTATTACGATACCTCTCCATGGTCAACAATAATCATCTAAAAAAATAGTAAAAAAATAATCTTAGTATAATTAATTATAAATAAAAAATTTGAAGGGGAAAAAGAAAGATGAAGAAAAAAAAGAGAGATGAAAGTTAAAAGCAGAAGCAAAAAGAGAAAGAAAAAAGAATTTAGAGGAGAGATATTTATGACTTTTGACTAATCAAAAAAAATAATGAAGTAAAAATTCAACTACAGGTAGAAACTAACACTTATCAAAATAAGAGACTATACTTTTTCTTTTTTTTTTCTGAAGGAGGAAATATTCGGACTATCCGATAAATCGAACCCGATTAATTCTCCATCGATCTAGAAGGAGAGATTCATCCCCAAACATGATAATCATGAGACTCGAATCCTGACGGGGCTGGACAACAGCTCCTACGGAGGGTGCCATAACCAATTGAACTGCCTAGGAGCGGCTGGCACATAACCTCTCTTTCTTTTATATACAAGGTAGAGATAACAATAAGATAAGAGTGGCATATGCATACCACCGTGTTTCTACCCAAAACTTAGCTATGGAATTGCTTCTCTTATACCCTAGGGCTGCAGCTGTTGGGCTACTTGTATTGGCTTTTGTTCTCTCCTTTTTACTTTGGAGGACTGCTAACTCTAAGCAGGCTGAAGTTAGACCAATCAAAAGCCGTTTACCGGTTGAAGCAGGCGGCGCATGGCCCATAATTGGTCACCTCCACCTCTTAGCTGGAGGCTCACAGCTCGCCCACATAATATTGGGAGGCATGGCTGACAAATACGGGCCATCCTTCACCCTAAGACTCGGAGTTCACAGGGCCGTGGTAGTCAGTAGCCTGGAAATGGCGAAGGAGCTTTTCACCTCCCAGGATACGGTTGTATCACAACGACCAACTAGTTTAGCAGCTAAACTCCTCGGCTACAACTATGCCATGTTTGGCTTCGCTCCTTACGGCCCATTTTGGAGCGAGATCCGCAAAATAATTTCCCAAAAATTGCTCTCTGCTCGCCGGCTCGAGCTCCTCAAGCATGTGAGAGTTTCTGAAACTGGGATTTCCGTGAAAGAGCTTTACAGGGAGTCATCAAAGGGTCGTGCTTTGGTTGATATGAAGCGGTGGTTTGGGGACTTGACTTTAAACGTGATTATAAGAATGATTGCCGGAAAAAGATACTTTGGGGGAGCAATAGATGTCAGTGAGGAGAAAGAAGCCAGGCAGTGCCAGAAGGCGGCGAGGGATTTCTTTCATTTAGTTGGGATATATGTGGTGGCCGACTTCGTTCCTTTCTTGGGTTGGTTAGACTTAGAAGGACACGAGAAGAAACTGAAGGAAACTGCTAAAGAAATGGATCAGATTGTTGAGGGATGGCTGAAGGAGCATAAACGAAGAAAAGAGTCCGGCAAGGGTGATGGCCAACAAGACTTCATGGACGTAATGCTCTCGGTCACCCAAGGTGGCCAAGGAGAAATAATGAACCTTGCTGGAGGCTATGATGCTGACACCATTGTCAAGGCCACGTGCCTAGTATGCACTATTTTAAGCGAAATATCGTCGTTTTTTTTTTTTTTTTCCTTTTGGCTTACATTTTCTTTCATCTACTGCTCTGCAATGTATAGGGATGGCAATGGAGGCGGGTGCCCGCGCGGGGGCTCATGGGGTGGGGGTTGGGGCGGGGGGAATTTCCCCCCGCTTAGAAATGGGACTGGGGGCGGGGGAGTATACCCTCGCCCCGCCACCCGCAAAAAATATATATATATATAAATATATATATATAAATGACTATATATTATATGTAAGTTAATTAGTTATAAACTTATGATAATGATATTATTAGTTAGATGTATTATATAATGTATATTAGTTTATGTAATATAATTGATATTATCAATTATATGAATAATTATACATGTCTACTAATAGAATTTATTAAATAGTTATACTAAATTTACTAATACATTTATACTAAATTTCTAATTACACTTAATAGAATAACACTTTTTTCTAAAAAAAAAGCACAAACACAATGAAAAATTAGTGATTGCATTTGTACAAAAAGTGAAAATTTGACTATTTTAGTTATATTTATTTCATCATATTGGATTGTATTCAAATAACTTCTGTTTGATTATTTTTATGAGTTTCAATTGTAAAATTACAATGAATAATAATTTGATGATGTGTTGATATTTTAATACTTGATTATTTATTAAAATTTAATTATAATAAAATTGTATAATAAAATTTTATTAACCCCGCGGGGGAAGCGGGGCAAGGCAGGGCGGGGACGGGGCGGGGCGGGGGAGCGGGAGGTGGGGGACGGGATGGGGGACGGGGGGAACTAATAGGCAACGGGGCGGGGGACGGGGGAGGGGTCCCCCGCCCCAACCCCGTCCCGTTGCCATCCCTAGCAATGTACATATGATTTGCTCCGCTAGCTCAAACCATCCTAGGCTTTTCTTAAAGAATATAACATGAAATAGACTTCCATGAAAATTGGAGTTTATAATCCTACTGGTAGCACGAGACTTTTCTTCTTCTTCTTTTTCTCCCCTTTTCCCTTTATTTATGTGGCAAAGAAAATAGTTAATACTATTGTTTCTACTAATGCTATACTGACTTATTCGGACTTGACAGAATTTGATGTCTGGTGGGAGTGACACCACAGCAGTTATGCTAACATGGGCACTATCTCTCTTGTTGAACAATCCTCAAGTCCTGAGAAAGGCTCGAGAAGAACTAGATCTCCACATTGGCAAGGATAGACGAGTAACAGAATCAGACATCAACAATCTGGTCTACCTTCAAGCCATTGTCAAAGAGACATTTCGGCTGTACCCAGCTTCTCCACTGGGCGTTACTAGGGACTTCAATGAAGACTGCACTTTCGGTGGTGGTAATTATCATGTCCCCAAAGGCACGAGGCTGATATTTAACCTGTGGAAACTCCAGCGGGATCCAAACATATGGCCTGATGATCCATCCGAATATAGGCCTGAGAGGTTCCTTTCGACTCATAAAGATGTTGAAATCAATGGAAAGCAATTCGAACTGGTCCCCTTTGGCGCAGGCAGAAGAATTTGCCCTGGATTGCATTTTGGCATTCAAATGATACACCTGGTTTTAGCAGATTTGCTTCATGCATTTGACATCTCAAAGCCGAGCGATGAACCGGTTGATATGACTGAGAGCGCTGGATTGACAAATGCCAAAGCCACGCCTCTTGATGTGCTAATTGCACCCCGCCTGTCTCCTAATCTTTATTAATAAATCTAAGTCTTATCCAAATAATCTATGTATATTGTATTTGAAGATGCCTCATCCAAGGATGGTGTGAAGAATATGTAGCATCTATACCTATTTTTCAGGAGTATATGTTGCGTTTTAAATATGTAGTAGTTTATGCTTCATTTCATGCACAAACCTTACCAAGACTTTAAGTTGCAAATATATTTACTAGGGCCTTATCCGTCGGACCACAGGATTATATGCACTTGCAGAACATGAAAAGAGTAATTAGCCGGGAGACAAAAAAAGTTCAGGAAGCCTCAACTGAACTGCGAACCAAATTCAACACTGTCAATCAATAGTATCATCAGGTGCCTGTTCAATACATCAATGATATATGCTCAAATTGAGTAGTGATAAAAGGGCTAAAAAAAGACTAATAAAAAGGTTGGAAATGACAAATAAAGCTAGAAATGACAACGCTGGGGGATAATGATTGTTGATCCAAAACTTCTCTAGACTATCGTAGTCTCTCTCAATAATTGATCGTGAGCACCAAATTAATAAGGGTTGTCAATTGTCACCGTGTACTCGGGTGCGACTTGTTGATCCAAAACTTCTCTCGGTAATTAATGGTAATCACGAAAGTCGTGATCCAAATCAATCAAGGAAAGATTTTTTTGTCAATTATCACATAATTAATCGTAACCACGAAAGTCGTGATCCACATCAATCAACAAAAGACTTTTTGTCAATTGCAATTAGAACAAAACTATACATTCTCATTAATTCACATCACTCTTTATCTCGTTAATTTTGCTAATTTTGTCGTTTATTAGATTTAAATCGAATAAATTTGAGAATTAAGGATGCAAAGTGTCCAAAATTGAGAGTTTAGATTGTAAAGCGTTCAAAATTAAAATTTAGAATGTAAAGTAAAAAAGTGCTGCAAGTTTGAGATTGCAAAATGGAGTTAAGTCAAAAGGAAAAAAAAATCTATCTAACTCCTCAGCCAAAATGCTACTGCCTCTTTTAAGAGCCTTGCAGTCCCAGTCCCCTGGTTTTGAGGAAGTTGCAAAATGAGTTAGTAAATCACATTGGAAGTACTAAACGGGTCTGTATACCCACTAGCCCCTAATACACAAGCCTCCTTAAGCTCTCCCTCTCCCTACATTAGGATAGAGTAGGTTATATAATATATCGTTGTTGACAAAAAAAAAAAAATAGTACTAAACGGGTCATGGAACCAACAGCCTTTTGCCCTGTTGGTCACCGCCAAAGATTTGTTACATTATGTGATTTTCTTAAATCCATGCGGATGCATATTATACTCATTTGGTCTAACGGCGGTTCAATCCTCCTCTCCTCCTAGATTATGTTAGAGTAGGAATAAAAGTAGAAGTAAAGTCGTTAAGTAATGAATGACAAAAAAAAAAAAAAAAAAGTACTAAACAAGTCATGGGATCAGAAATAGGCAATCAATTAATATGTGGCCGGGGGTCGGATTTGCTAATCAAATTCTAAAATTGCTAGTAATCAAATTCTAAAAGTACCATTGCTCTTTGCCTTGCTTCCAAATTACTAGTAATTAGCTAATGGCCAGGTCAAATTCCTACGGTATCAGACTAGCTCTTTAGGATTTCAAGAGCTTACGGAATTTTTTAAAATTGATCCACAAAATCCATTTATTTGGGGATAATGGTTTGTGTAATGGTTTGTAGACTCAAGATGGTTCGTGTTATGGTTTGTTTTACCAATCGTACGCCAACATTTTTGTGTGGCCAGGCTGTCCGTAAAGTGAGGACCCAAGCCATGATAGGTTGGGCCGAGTACTCTGTCCTCCCGGACCTCTACTTTCATGAACATCCTAGGCAAATGATCAACAACCTGACCGCCACCTCCGCTGGTGCTCAGAACCCAAATAAATCAATAAATAAAAGCCGAATCCCAGTCCAGTTGAGAAGCATATAACAAAGGATTGGCGCTCAAGCCATTTTCGCTTTTTCATCCCCGTGCAAGATTTATGCCTAGTTTGAGAGTTTAGATGAGAGAAGAAAAGAAAGAGAACAAAATATTACGACTATATATTTTCTGTAGTTTGGGGCCTTAGGAGAGAAAACAAGAGACAAGATAAGTAACATGTTGAACTTAGAAATATGTCCATTTAATCAAATAACTAGATGTTTGTTTAACTGGTAAAAATGACATTACCAAAAAAAAAAAAGATTTAGCGAGACATATTATGTTTATTCTATTTCGTTACTTTTCTTCCCGGCTTAAACTTTCAAATGGAGAAAAATAATAAGTTTAAGGCGTGTTTGAATAGACATTATTTGCACAAAAATTATTTGTTTGTATCATAAATATATTTTTTAATATATATATATTTTTTAATAATTTTTTTGATCTCATATACATCACATTATAAAATTGTTATAATAATTATTCCAAATAATATGTTTCTGAATCATTTCTTTGCTCATCGATTACTTCCATCCAAATGAACGGCCTCAGATTAGACAACAAAGAGATAATAATTTATTTTACTTTTGCATTATTTTGACGACGAAGTGTGCTATCCCCTTGTACGGTTTGAGAACAAGGCATAATATATTTGTGGTTTGAGTGTACATTCTCACTAACAAAGTTGGAATGACCATTCGAAAAGGTTGAAAATACAACTGTGCGTTTGAGGAGCTTTGCAGTTGAGATCATAGCCACAAGGCAAAAAAGGGTAAGGGGAGAGTTTTAAGTTTGCCAAACCGAAATTAACAATAGTGTGCTGATAGATTGCGATATTTGAGAAGAAGTTCATTTTTCCTTTTTTTTCTTTTTTTTTTAATCACTCATAAACGAGGACTGTGTTAATAAGAGGACAAAGGATGATAATGCGTTTTCAACTCCAGCAAGAAATATCGCAAGACAATCACGATTTGCAGACAAATAAAGGCCCACTTAGCTGAATAATTGGCCAAGTATCTCACAAACTGCGCTTATTCTTTGAATGATGAGAACTAATGATTTGGTTGCATTAATTGCATCATAATTGTAATCACATGATTCGGTTCTTGTGTGGGCTGCCCTGATCCCTCCTTGACAACAACATGCCCATCCGTTTTCCACTCTCCCTTTTTTAAGGTCATCCTCTGCGACAACATAAATCGTGTGTTCGAATCTTGTTTTTGTTTGTGGTGCGAGAGCTATATTGATGGACGAATAATCTATAAAATCTCGGAAACATATTTTGATCCATATAAAAATTCTTGCATGCGATCTATAATTTCGGAGAGATGCGTTCACAGAGGTGTCCGGATCAATCCTTATCAGGCCCGACTAATCCCTTGCGGCCTGGACCCGGAGCCCCAACCCGGCCCGAACACGTTAAGTGCACGGAGGAATCCAGTGGAATGGAGACTCGAACTTGTGACCTCAAGATTCACTGATGAGAGGCGCTGTCGCAAGCGCCTTCTGCACTATCTACATACACATTTTTCATTTCTCAATCAACAGTTCTCATCGTCTTGAAATGGCAACCGTCCATTCATCCCCCTCAAATCACTTTCACGACCTTTGTATTAATTCCATGACCGTGTCTGGGTGGCTGCCTATGATGATGAAGATCCATCATTGCAGCTCTCCCCAACTCAAGATGGTCACGCCACCTTAAATTATTAGTACCATTCTTTTCTTTCCACTGCTCAAACTTCAAGGTCTCAACCAAGAATTTAAATTCAATTGGACAGACCCCAATGTGGTCCTCATCGTAAAACCAAACCAGAAATACGCAACTTGAGCAGATTAGGCAAATGTCCAACCGGGTTGGCATAAGAGACACGTAAAAGGGCAAAAAAAAGAAAAATACAAATCAATAATGGAGGTCTAATTTCTTAAGCCAACAGGCAACAGCGACCTTCCCAGATAACATGAGCTGAAATCCGGTTCAGTTAATGAGAATAATCATTATTATTATTATTTGTGGGTCAAAACTCATATTATAATTGTGGGAAATCGGGTGCCAGCAAGACTCCCAACTCTAGGCCCGATTCAAGTAAAGTGATAGAAACAACGCTTATCATTGTTTGCTGTATACATGACATGCATACGTTAGTTGTGTTGAATTTTCTCAACCTTTCTCTTCTTCTAAAGAAAATGAACTGGTAGCTACTCCAACCTGTAATCTCAAGTTGTCCATTCATTCCTTCTGTCATTATTCAATGGCCTTGACTGGATTTTGAGCTTTTTTCATTTATATGCAAATCGACATTGTTTATATTGTTAAGAAGACCAAAATATATATATATATATATATATATATATATATATATATATATATATGTAATGCTATTACGGAACCTACGTTACATAAATGTTTTTGTAGATATATGTAATAAATATTTTGAACAATATCTAAAAGTTGTACCGACCCTTTTGCATGGCACAATTGATTAATCAGGTGTCTTTAATTATTTTGTTGAAACCAATTAATCTGTTCATTTTCAGCATAAAACTAAACCAAAGTTCAATTGAAAGATAGTTATTGTCCATAATCAACTTTTATTTTCTCCTTTTTCTTACATATCTTTGTATTTCCTTTTTTTTTTGCCGTGTCGATGGTCAGTGTCGGTCGTAATGAATTTTGAAATTTAGAAGCCAGGAATAATTTTCTAGAAAATAGCATTAAGTATCTAATTTTTTGCCAATATCTAAATGTGTTCAGAAATTTTTTTTTTGGGATCAAGAATTACTATATGTTACTCTTTATGTAAAATCCCAAATTGAGGAATTAAAAAATCGTCAAAAAAAAAAAAAAAAAATTTCTTAACAGGTCACGTTTGTTTACCAAAGGAGTCGTTGGCCTACTGAAACAAGCATTGCAACTAGTGCATTACAAACTCGACTGGAGCACTTGGGGAAAAAAAAAGCTGGGGGGAAGCCTACACAGCTAACCAGCTTCATATTCTTCTCTCTCACCAAAAATCTTTTTCTCCGGCACTAAATTTTACGATCACCGGAGCTGTTAAATGCAAATTAGCAACGCGACTTTGACACCTAGGAGTGCTGCCGGAAAAATGTCGTCGGAGCAAGTCATCGTGGCCGTGAAGGCAGAGAAGGTGATCACGAAGACGGCAATGGCTTGGGCAT